AGGAAGGAAGGAAGGAAGGAAGGAAGGAAGGAAGGAAGGAAGGAAGGAAGGAAGGAAGGAAGGAGCAAGAAATGAAAAAAGAGAGGAAATGACCCCTAAACATATGAATGACTTCCGACCTTCTTTTCAACAGATAATTGCAATTTCGTTGTCCCTCCTCCCACTTAGATGTTAGACAAGCTCCTTCAGCCCCTTCTTTCATCCCCGTCTTTCATAATCTTCAAATCCATAAATCATAATTTCATGACTTCTTTCAGCAAAAAGTCCACATAAGGTTTCCAGTCTTTCAGAAAAGTTTTTCTGTTTTTTTTTTTTCTCTGAGCAAACAGGTCCCTTTTGCCATTTCTCCAAATTCAGTCATTTTCACAGTCTCTTCCTCCATGGTGGGAATTTCATTATTCTTCCATCGTTGTGCATACAGTAATCTTGTTGCAGTTACTATATACAAAATCAGTGTACCATGAGTGGGATCACATTGACTAGAGCATGCTGGCTGGGGAATTCTGGAAGTTGAAGTCCACACATCTTAAAGTTGCCAAGGTTGAGAAACTCTGGACTAGAGAGAGCATTTTGAAGAGGGCAAATAAGAATGGAAAGGGAAGATCTCTGAACTTGAGTAGATCTGAATTGGTCTTTAAATAAGTGGGTAGTTTGACAGTTACAAAACAGCCATCTAGTAACGCCTCTGGAAATACTGGACTTAGCTAGGACACAGTCTACTCCCTGAATTAAAATGGGAAGCAAGTTCTACGAGATGGTATGAGGACTCCTGCCTTGGGCAGAGGGTTAGACTAGAAGACCTCCAAGGTCCCTTCCAACCCCAGGATTTTCTGATTCTCTTCTGAGCCAAAAGGTTGCTAGGGAGTGCAGATGTAGACATTTCTACCCCAAAGTCAGACCTGTTGAGTCCAGTGGAAGCAGCAGAAGATACAGAATTGCAGATTCAAATGTTGAAGAGTTACGATTAAGGTCTGGAAGGCTTTGATAGAACACCATCAAAACAGTCTCAACTTTCCATTGTTGTGATGGTTGATTTCATTTTCTGAAACTACTTTGGCCCAGACCATCCATTTAGGGAAAAGACAGGTCTGTTTCCATCCCATTCAAACTAACAATTCAGTCTGAATGGTTGATCTGAGGCAGGAAGTCCACTTGATTCAGAGACTGGAGTGAATGGTCTTGCAACCACCTTGTTGCACTGAAGCTTTGCACCACTGCAATGCCATCAACCCAAGGAATTGTGGGTAATGAAAAAACAGGGCCATTTCTATTTGGGGGGAGCAAGTCTCTGGAATGACCTCAGGGGCATTGACTTGGAGAAACTTTGAACCCCCACAAAAAGCTCTGGTAGGCATTTGGTGCTTTCAGAGGTAGATCCCAAAAGATCCCTATTCAAGAAGGTTTCAAATTTGGAATGCAAACTTGGGGTCCTCATTGGCCAATCTGCAGCCTAGTCTTCTGCCCTTACCTGTTGAACAGAGTGGGATCTTCTACATGCTGCAATTCTGTAACTGACCCTCTGAAACCCTGGAGTTCAGAGCAGGAGTGGGACAATCATGGCCCCCAAAGACGCCTTCTCATTCTTCCATCACCTTTCCACCCCAACCTATACATGGCAACCTATGATGGCTTTCTTTGTTTATGAAATGTGATGCCTTTCAAGACTTGGTTTGGTTTCTCTGTCCCAAAAAACACCACGGAAGTCAAAACGACCTGCTGGCAGCTTCCACAACAGGCTTTCAAGATTCCAAAGATCTGAAGATCCCTTCCATAGAGAAAGCAATTACAGTAGCTGGGTTATCCATCCTCCACGTCTCCCAGGAAAAAAGAGTGAAACTTGAGGATCCGCGTAGGGAATCTGAGCTCTATTGTCTTCTCATAGGAGAAGCAACAAAGCCTGGCCTATAGCGAAGGGGAAATTAAGATGTAGCTCCTTGAATTGACGACGGTGCAAGGTTACTTGAGAAATGAAAGGTAGCAGATCTCCACCATATGGTTACAGATATCCCAGTGTGATAGAGACCTGCGCCTGCCTTGAAGGAACTAAAATAAGGTAGAGGCTCTGTTGGGCCTCTGGTACAACAGAGGTAGACCAGTATTTAGCAGAAAGGGCTACTGTTTCTACCGTAACTTCTTAATTACAAGAAAAGAAGGGGGGGGTCCCCTCTGTGTCCCTGGCGATGAACTCTCCTTTGAAGATCCTCCTTTGAAAGGGTTGGTTTCTGTCCTCCTTTCCTCTTCTTCCTCTTGGGGATTAGAAACGGTCATCCTGTTCCACTTTTTTGTGTAGTCGTTCGATTACCCAGGTGATGCACACCTGAAGGGTCTTTTTTTTTTTAGCCATCTGCCCTAGACGTTGACTACCCGGTTTCAGGTGGTCCTCCCCAGATGGTCTTTGGTAATGTTACATGTATAATCATCATCTCGGCTTTTTGCCCCTTGAAATGGGGCCCTACAAATGGGGATTTTGATGCCTGGGTTTGAAAAGAACCAGCGTGATTGAATATCTTGGAACTGTAACTTGCAGGTTCAAATGTTTCACTTCAAGCTTGTAATGCAGTTCTTGGCTCAGAAGAAGATGCCAAAAGACAAAATGTGCAACTATGGAGGGAACAAAAAAACCTCTTTTGAAATAGTTTGCTCTCTTTAGTCCCCAGTTTACCTCCCAAATTTTTTCCCATGTCATGGACGATGACCATTTTCTTAGATGATTGTTTGAATCTGAAACACATTCTTGTCAGCCTGCTACAGTCTTGTGTATCTTCAACGATAAGCCGAGTTTTTTTAAAGACAGGTTTGTTGACCAACCTCTAGTTCACCCATGACACTAAATGACATTAGCAGTGCGCACATTATACAGAGACAAAAACAGATGGTCCTCATTTGGCTTGGCGTTCAATCGGAAGCAAACCCTTGTATTCCACTGATCCAAATCAGTCCCAAAATTTATGGCAATAAATGATTGACGTCCTCCTGCAACAGGCTGAACCCAGGTTCGTTAAAGAAGCGGTTGCATTTGTGCCATGTTAACCTTGATTAGTTTTAAACTAGGTTAGTTTTTTGGGGGAGTGGTTTAGCATGTTTTGTTTGGATTATTTTTTGGTTGGAGTGATAGTCTACCTTTTTATTCAGGAGCTCAACATGGTGTACCTAATGTTCCTTCTTCCTCTCCCCTCCCAAACCCCCCAATAGCCCTGTGAGTGGGGCTGAGAAAAACTGAGTGGACCAAAGTCATCCAGTTCCACAAGGGGGTTGAACCTGGGCTTTCTGAGTCATAGTCCAATGCTTCAACCACGATGCCATATTGTTTCTCGAAAACAAGTCAATTCCAGACTTGTACAAGGTGGCTTGGGTTCCCCTTGACGAAGTTGGCAAGATTTCCATGTCTGAGACAAAACTGCAATGCCCTTCATCTCAAAGCTCTATGCTCCGCTGTGCTGATCCCACCTGGCCTTTGTAAAGGGCCAAGGGTGCCCCATTCAGTCTATGCAGTAAAGCTACGTTCCTCCCTAGATAGGGCATGGCCATTTCACAGAGTCTTAATTCATGCTGAAATGTTTGTGTGAAAAACAGAGTCAGCTATAGATAATTTGGGCTGTAGTCCTGTTTTACCTGTTTTCTTGGGAATCATAGCGTTAGAAGGAAATGTAGAAGATAGCTAGCCCATTCTCCTGCTCAGCACAGAACCTACTGGAGAGCTCTGCCTGAAGATGGTCCAGCCTCTGTTTGAAGTCCTCCAGCCATGGAGAACACCATATCATGTGGCAGCTTGTTTTACTGGCTGGCAACTTGACCATCAGGAACTTCCTCCTGCTATCTAGTCTGAACCACCTCCCTTGTCCTTTGAACCCTCCGGTTCTGGTCCTGGGCCACAGAAAGGAAAGATAGCTCCTTTAACACCAACACAACGTAACTGTTGGGCAGTTACATATAGGAGGGCGCGATCTGTGGAGATCAGAAAGAACAGTTCCAACATGGGAGTTGGGGTTTTACAGCTAGTGAATCATGTAAGACTGTCCTTCTGAAATTTGAAGCTACTCCTCAGAGCCATCTGTTTCTTTATGGCAGGCTTTTGGTTCAGCCCAGAAGGCGAATTTATCCGCAGTTGCATCAGCCGTTCCCAAGACCTCGTGGAAGGAAAAGTCCGGCTCTCTGTCTTGAAGGGTAACGTCTACATTTTGGGAAGGGAGTCAAACCGATCCCTGTACAATGAAGAACTTGTAAGGTAAGTGTCCTTAAGTATAGTTCCCAGAGTAATAAAGGTTTTGGAGATCAGTAGACAAACCACTGTATCTCAACCTTGGCAGCTTGAAGATGTGTGGACTTCATGGCTGGCTGGGGAATCCTGGGAGTTGAAGTCCACACATCTTCAAGCTGCCAAGGTTGAGAAACGCTGATGTAAACAGCTGGAATCTCCCCTGTTAGCAGTGAAGAGACCCATCTTTTTGCTGGATTGTAGGAAGGCTGTTAGAAAGGAAATCAGAAAGTTTCCACCCAAAACTCCAAGAGGATACACAGCTGGAACTCTTGCAATTCCATCCCTTTCATCTCAATAAATCTTGTTGAAGAAAACTCTGGAGAATTGTCCTTGGAAAAGAACAACTTTCGTTTTGAGTCCCGCCTTGGAAACTGACCATGATCCAACCTGGAAGGCAGGCCTGTGTTGCAGAATTAAAACTTCTCCAACCCAATTGGTGGAGCAACTTACTTTCTTCTGGCCATGCTGGAGGCAGCTTAAGACTAGTATTTTACGAATATCCAACGATCCTTGTTGGATTGGACCGCTGTACGTGGAAGAGACTTCCATGGTTTAAATGTATGTTGAACAATGAAGTATTTTTTTTAACATGCCCTGACTTTCCTACACATCTATGGGAAAATAGGAGAAATGCCCCAGAGACATTAACAGCTCTAAAACTTCCCCCTTGACATTCATTCTTTCTTAACTTTGACTTTATAACTTCCTCTAAGATGAATTGTTTTGTTGTGGTTACTGTTTTTTCAGCAGGCAAAAAACAATTAAGCAAAGGTCTTGTTTAAAAGTGAAAAGCATTGTTCAGGATTAAGCTTTCAGCCTTTTTTTTAAAAAAAGAAAACGTATACTGCTGACTGCCTCCCTTTCTTATCTCCCTCCCTTCATTCCCCTTTCAATCCTTCTAAATGCTTTATAAACCATAAATATACCCAAATCAGTTTAGATCACTCAGAGTAAATGTCAAATTATCTCTCCCCCCTCTCTCTCTGGATCTTTCTTCCCTCCCCCTTAAAATCAGCAGTTTCTAATAATCCATCCCAACCTTTCATTATCGTTTGCATTCTCACGCGGCGAAATTAAATGAATAACGTAAAAAAAAAAAAAAGAAGAAGAAGAAGAGAAAGAGAGAGCGGGGAGGGGAGAGGGAAGAAAGAGTGCAAAAAAAAAGGGGGGAAAACAGGCACATTTATTCTCGCTGTGTCTTTAGCCATTTTCCTTTTCTTCTTGATTTCTACATCGTTGGTTTGAAAAGCATTTGAGTGACGGCATCATAGGAACTGAAGTGAGAACCACAAGAGATGTAACACGCGAAAAATGCCTCCGCACAGTGGGTAGAAAGTAACATAATTACAGAGCAGGTCAGTAGCACTCTGATGAGCAAAAATAAAAGCTCAGTTTTTCTATAGCCCCTCGGGGGAGGTAAAGTCATTGTAAACTCTTTTTTAAATTTTTTTTTTCTCCCTTTGGGGAAAAAAGAAGGGTTTCTGCCGTTTCCAGAAGAGGAAGAAGGTTCTGGTTTTTATTTTTATTTTTATTTGACTTTGCTCCCCCCTTCCCAGTTTCAAGGAAAGGGGGGGGGGATAAGAAATGAATCCGGTTTGCATTTGGGTGGAGCGCAGCAGTTTGGGGGGGGGGTTTCTGTTGCAGGCTTCTTCAAGCCCTGAGTATGTTTCTTGCAACTCCTTATTTTGGATCGCTTGCAGAACGGAGCATCGCTCCGAAGGCTGGGCGATGGGAATGACATTCCCCATTTTCATGGCACAGGGTTTTATTCGGCCGTCTCCCCCGTTGCAAACTGGATCCAGACACCATGCTCCAAAGGGCCACCTATTTCATTTAATTTTGGGGTGGGGGGTTACCTTTTGCAGAAGTTAAGTCTTTGAGGTTTCTCTTGGTGGTGTTTTTTGAGCTCACTTTTTTGGGGGAAGGGGGAGAGGACAGAGGAAGACGCTGCGGAAGAGAGAGATTTATTGATCCTCATCCCTCTGTAGCTTCTTCAGCTAACCATGTTTCCCAGGAACATTCATATCTCCATTTGGGATTAAAAAGAAGGGCGAGACAGAGAAGCTGCAGATGGTGAGAAAAAGGACAGGACAACAAGAGACGGGGCATTCACCATCCCCCCCCCACACACACACTAGTGCCCTTATTGCTCAGGGCATTAACACCACACTCCATCCAGAAGAAACTTTTCTTTACCAAAACTGCATTTTAAAGCTTAATTATTTTGGGGGTGGGGAGCCAGTTTTCCTTTCTGGTTAAAAAACCCCCCAAACTTTCTGGTAAACGGTATAATTCGGCGATGCTGCGGACATGGGCTCGCACACCCTCTCTCTTTTTGAACTCGCTCTTCAGCTGGGATCTTCTTGAGTTGATCTGAATCAACCAGCCAAATTCACTTGGCCCGTGGAATCAGAGTCTGCTCCAAATGGAGGGCTTAAACCGCTTGAACGAGGTCTTCCCCAAGGAGCAAACCATCCGGTTTCTCCCAAGATTTGCTGCTCTTCAGGGGTTCTCAGCTAGTTTTTATCCATATTTTCTTATTGTACTTTTTTTTTTTTTTAAATCACAGGAAAAACAGCCCCAGATATGCCCCATAAACCATTAAAAAATCCAATCCTATTTATGTTGGGATGTTAAAAAGTGGGGGAAGAGTTCTGAATCTTAAAAAGAGTTAGTCTTCATCCAGGGATGTTCCAGATACTAATGATGCACCCATCTATATATCATCACTTGAACAGACTTGGTAGAAGTTTGTTCTGCTTGCAAACTAATTGTGGTTTTTTCCCCTCCTGATTTCCTGAAGCCACAATGAACAAGGAGGGCTGGCTGCAAACTTCTAGATGTTTGGAATTTGCAGGTGGATCCTTCCACCCCCCGCAGGAGCTCAGAACAGAAGAGTTCCCCAAGTTCATCCTCACAACCACCCCGCAAAGGAAATCAGTGCGAGAGACAGAAGAACCACCTTTGTGGCCAAACAGAGATTTATAGCTGGCATGTATTGTCTTACGGTGGCAGCAAGTAGCAAGGATGTAGGAGCGTTCAGGTAAAACCAAGAGTCTTATGCAGGTGGCTGTCATAGAGGTAGAGCTGGTTTTGTTCTGCTTTCTCTGCTAGGTATCACAGTCCCAAACTCAGATGGCTATCAAGTCCAGAGTCTCATTTTCCAGGGAGATAATCCATCAATGTGCCATCCAGTTGGTGATGACTCTTAATGTCCACATAGATTTTCTCCATGACCATCTGTCCCTAACCTGGACTTTCAGGTCTTCCAGTAGTTCCCTCATCACCACTGTAACTGAGTCCATCCACCTTGCTGCTGCTGGTCCTCTTCTTCTCTTTCTTCCCATTGACAGATGGATTGATTATGTGCCATCAGGTCAGTGTTGACTCTTAGTGACCCCATAGATAGATTTTCTCCATGATGATCTATCCTTAAACTGGTCCTTCAGGTCTCCCATCAGTGGACCCATCGCCACTGTAACTGAGTCCCTCCACCTTGGAGCTGGGCATCCTCTTCTTCTCTTTTCTTCTACCTTTCCCAGGATTATGGACTTCTCTGAGGATTGTTATGGCTTGCCTGGATAGCAATTGGTTGATTGACTGATTGATTGATTCAGTGCCACCAAGTCACTGTTGACTCTTAGTGACCACATGGATAGATTTTCTCCATGACAAACTGTCCCTAACCTGGTCCTTCAGTTCTTCCAATGGTGCACCCATCACTAATGTAACTGAGTCCCTCCACCTTGCTGCTGGTCATCTTCTTCTTTTCTTTCCTTCCACCTTCCCCAGCATCAGAGCCTTCTCCAGCGAGCTGGGTCTTTGCATAATGTGTCCAAAGTAGGATAATTTGAGCTTGGTCATTTCTGCTTCAAGTGAGAATTTTGCGTTGATTTGTTAGATGATCCATTTGTTGTTTTCTTGGCTGTCCATGGTCTCCTCAGAAGTCTTCTCCAACATCAAAAAAATTAATACAATGTGATTAAAAGGCCAGTGATTCATCTCAATAAGCCCTTGATTACCTGCCCAATATTTGTTAGCGAGGCAATCTGCAAATTATGCACCACGGGTAGATCAAACCTTTGACCAGCCTCCCCTAACCATCTTCCCTTCTCTGGGTCTGAAACATGGAACTAGAACAAGAAGCAACTTCACTGAAGCCACTTCTGATGTCCCAAGCCCCCGCTTTCCAGACAGGTAGGCAAGACAGCCTTCCATCCTTGTAAGTGCTTATTTAAAATAGGTTGGGCATTGATCTATGTCCCCATCTCTCTGCATATTCCTACATGAAACATTGATCAACAGACAAATTTCTCCTTCAATTGCCTTCCCTGCCACTGAGAACTGAAATCAGAAAGGAGAAGAACAATGATGATGGTCTCATCCAAAATTTTCTCATGATCCATGGGAATTTGGCGAGAGTTTGAATTATGGGCGGAGGTGTGCACACTTCCTGCTGAGAAGTTGCAAGAAACGTCAAGTGGTTTCCTGGCACTAAGAACCTTTCAAACCATCTTCGCTTGTCAAAATGCTCAAGAAGAAACATTTTTCTTCCACCTGTTCTATCAAAAGGGGCTGGGTTTGTCGAAAACAAATTTGTTAGAACATGGACATCTGCTACAGGGTCAGAATAAGGCTTTGAGGGTAAGGTGAAAAAACAGTATCTCCTTAGCAAAGTAAACCAACTGGTGTTCTTGTCATCTGAGAAACGGGGGAGGTAAAGTTTAACTGGGGGGTGGAGAAGCACAGAGGGAAATGGGAGAAAGAAGAAAAGAGGTTGCTTTGAAGACCTTGGGTGCATTGAACATTATACGGCCTGTTTTTATTGCCCCATAATTAATGGGATTGCACTTTGCCCAACAAAAGGGTCTTTCTAAGACGAACGTTTTCAAGCCAAAGGTTGTCGAAAGACATCCACTTTTAAATTAGGTGATTGTGTGCAAGGAGTGAATTCTGCTCTGGTGAAGGTTGAGAGCCTTTGATGGGGGGAAAAAACAGAGGTGGCTTTGTCACTGAATCAAGCTTCAGGACAGCCACACTCTCTCAGGGAGGTGTTGACAAATCTCTACCTTGGAGGCAATCCAGTCTTGGGGTTGACCGTCCCTGCATCTGATTTTCAAATGCTTACTCTTCCCCACCTGATAATAATATATAGCTTATAGTATTGACACTGCTAAATGGGAATTGCTCAGATCTGGGCCATCACGTCTGCGCAATCCTTCCTGCTCCAGGGTTGTGCTGTGTGCCTTTTCACACATTGGAAACCCAGGAGGTTCATTTCTGAACCCTTAGAAAGACTTGTAGAAAGGATCCATCTTTCTCTTGGGGGCACCGGTTTAAAATGAATCAACTGATTATCACCCATCTGATTATAACTGTGGGTCATTTTATCCCCCGGTTGCTCATGCAGACAGATCTTTCTAAAGCAAAAGGATCTGTGTTTGGCAGGTCCCCAGGGCTGCGCAGATCTTCAAGGAGATGTATCACCTCCACAGCATTTGCCAAAGCTGGAAGAAAGTTTCCACACCGGCACATCTTTGCAAGTTCCAAAGGAGGCTAAGAGCAGGCTGTGGGAGTTATGCAAAATATCTCGCCCCAGCTACCATACCAGACCTATTATTACATCCACAGAGAAACAGTGGACCATTCTATCATTATGCTAAGCCATAATGTGGTTGGCCAGCCATAGTGTTGAGTGATTTCCCTCCATGGTTGTGATTGATAAATCATGGTTTAGGGCTTTTCAAGTAGCTGAAGGGGTGTCACATCATAGAAGGTCTGTTTTCCATCACTGGAATGTAGGAGATGAGATGATGGATCTAAGTTAAGAGTCCAATGCCTGTTTTTACAAACTTTCTAAAAAGCAGAGTACTCCAACAATCGAATCCACGGCCAACAGAGATTGTGAGTGCCCCTTCATTTAATATGTATAGGCAGAAGTTGGTCAATTATCTGTCAGGGATCCTATAATCTGGATTCCTGCACACTAGGTTATATTTGATGGCCTCAAGTCTAGGTTTGATAGTTCAGACTCTAGGCTTCCAGAATTCTTATGGCTACTCAGTTGGTATACGGAAATTATTCCCATGTAAGTGGGGTATCAGTGAAGTCTTACTTTATTATCCTTACATCCTGCCTTTTCTACATTACCGGTTTGGTCAAGCAACATGTGAAATCCAATTCTGCTTAGCTTTTGCATGTTGGCTGTATCCCTCAAGGTAGGCAACCTGGGGCCTTTGAGATGTTTGGACTTCAGTTCCCATCAGCCAGTGCTAGCATGGCCAAGGGGCAAGGGAGTGTAGGACCTGTAGTCTAGAGTGTATGGAGGCTACCTACTTCTGTTCTAACTCTTGGTCTAAGATATTGCACAAAGAGGTCGCTCGAACTTTCCTTGAATGAAACCCTAGTCTCTTTCTGTACCCAATATTGCAGCTGTAATTCATTCTTTCATCTTCTTTTCATTCAGCATGGATGTTCAAGGGGGTTATGAACCATCTGATGCTACTGGATTCATCAACATCAATTCCCTTAGGTTTGTATTCAGCATAAACACGGTATCCCACGTGCACAAAGAGTTTTAATTCTTGCTTTCAGAAATGTTCTCCTGATCAATATGTAGACCAGCCTTCCCCAACCTGGAGGGGTCTCCAGATGTGGTGGTCTACAACTCCCAGAATACTTAGCCAGCACAAAGCTTTGAATGTATTGTTCCCTCAAGCAGATTGAGCAAAGTTTTGAGGCAGCAGATAAACCGGCAGGTATTGTAATGATGCAATCTTAAATGAATGTACCACCGGTTTTTAAAAAAGGACCAGGAATGAATTCTGACGCTGTAACCAAAAGTATTTCTTCCAAAACTCCAGCAGAAGCTGCACATGTTCAGAGCTAAAGATGCTTTGGTGGTAAGGTTAAACTTCAGAAGATGAAAGACTTATCTGGTGTGAGAAGACAGAGATGTCAGATGACCTTCCTTGGGGAGGATTCTATAAGCAAGGGTCCACTGCTGAGAAGGTCTCTTTTGGAGAACCACAACTCCCACCATATTTCTGGAATATCACCCAAAAGGATTATATTGGCAGCTAATGTGGAGAAAGAAAGTCTGTTGCAAACCTAGAAGAGCCCAACAGAATCTTGCAATGCCACCAGAATCTTCTGTCTTGGGCTTCTAGGTCCCAGAACCAGACTTGGAAGTCCATCCTCCCCATTTCTTCTCCCATTCCATGCCCAGTGGCTGTGTTTCTTGCTGCTGCTGCTGGCTGAGTGCTCTTTGCAATTCCATGATGGCACGCGCATAACACAGATCACCTGGCAACCGCATTAACCTCTTTCCTGAGTTGGCAAAACATACTGAATCATAAACTAACCCCCAGGGCTGGGTTTGGACTAGAAGCTAAACCACAGAAGGAGAAAGCAAGAAACATGAATGAATGGTAAGATTAACCAAGCTTAGTGTGTTCTGGAAGTGTTCTTGCTGGACCTTTATTTAATCTGGCTGTGCTTGCTGTGGGCCCACAGCCAAACATGAAAGGTCCTAAGTTGTCTGTTCATACTAAGGAGATTTGGACAGATCTGGACAAAAATGTGGGGTGGGTGGATTGAAGAAAATAGGGCAGAAGAATGGTGGGATGGAGATTTTTTTTTTTAAAAAAAGGACTTGTTTATTTTTCCCCCAAATCTGAATGTTTTCAGTTGAATGTTTCGTATCTCAAGGCAGGTGCTGTCACAGTCAGGTTTAGGACCGGTTGTGATAGCCCAGGGTCAAAACAGAAACGCAAAACTGCTGATGTTGGAAGGAAAGAAGATGAAAAGAACTGAATCCAGAGTCATTTTGAACCCCAGCCTTTTGTGAAGCAGAAAAGAAAGGCACGCTCTTTTCATTTTCAAGCATTTTCAAACACATGTTGCCCTAGCCCAGAGGCATTTTGTGCCATGTCCCGCTTCAAACACTGAGGGATCACAGCGTTTTAGTGAAAAGTGTTGCGCGTTGTTTCTTGAATGCGTGTGGATAAGTCCTTTCTGGATGGTAAAGTTTGAAGGCAAAGGTAAGGCATCCTGATTCCCCAAATTATGAAAGATGTGCTTGACATGAAAGCTAATACGTTTTGAGGAAAGATGGACTTCTTTCCTTCTGATTTGCTAGCTTTCTATCTGCAGGGAATGGCCCGCTAACACAAAGAGAACCTCTCAGCTGTTGAACTCCTAGGAGAAGAAAACTATTTTCTATTTAACACCATTTGCCATCATTCATTTCCCCTAGTCTTTACTGCTCTGTCATCCCCCCCCCAACCATTTTCCCCATGGAAAAATGATACATTTACATAATGAGTTCTTCTATAACCTGTTAACTTCTTTGTTCTGGATGCTAATGTACTATGTTTTATTCCAGAGCCCTTGGGGGAGGGAGGAAGGGAGCAACGATGGAGAAAGAGAGAGAGAGAGAGAGAGGATGGATGGATGGATGGATGGATGGATGGATGGATGGATGGATGGATATAATGATAGATGGAAAGAATAAGAATAAGAATAAGAATAAGAATAATAAAACGGATGGATAGATATATAGGATGGATGAATGGATAGATAGAGAGATTAGATAGAGAGATAAATAGAAAGATGGAATGGAATGGAATGGAATGGAATGGAATGGAATGGAATGGAATGGAATAGATGGATATATAGGTAAGAAGAGAGAGATCCGATATAATGGATAGATAGAATGGATAGATGGATAGATGGATAGACAGATAAGGATAGAGAGAGGAGAGGAGAGGAGAGGAGAGGAGAGGAGAGGAGAGG